AAATCTTACAAGATGATGGGATTGATTAGAACAATCAACCAATGAATGGTTTAATATTTTAAAATGAAAGAAAATTATATACCATATATGCCGCCGTATTAGGCGACCCAACGTATAAGACGACCCCCGTCTTTATAGCCGGGCCGCATTCCTAGAACGTCATCTTATACACCGGAAACTACCAGTATTTCCGCCGTATAAGATGACTCGGCGTATAAGACGACCCCCATCTTTGGCGCCGATTTCAGCGCTCGCGGAAGTCGTCTTATATGCCGGCATTTACGGTAAGCTAAATAAAACATTCCTTCATAAAACATTGATAAGAGGAAATAACTAGTTTTGAAATATTTATATTTTCAATTTTGTAATTGATTTAGATCAGAGTTTGATAGAAACTGGATTTTTGTTTATTCTAATGAAGAAAAGAAATGTTCCGAGTCTTTCTACAGGTGCAGGTTCTTAATTGCATTGAGAAATTCATTCATGCAGAATTGGTTGCTTATTTATTAACTGCTCAAAATGTTCATACTTGCTTACACAAATACTTTGGACATGAAATACTATTGGAGCTAGAACAGAAATTGTTTTTTTTGGTGCTAAGCTGTTTTATATTTCAACCAAAAGTGAAAAACAAAAACACATTTTCACTGCCACTTGTTGCGGAACTTTTGACCTAATTCTGATACTCAGAAATCATGGCTGCTGTAACCAAAATGTTAACCATCCACAAAAATGGAAGGGGGCTTTAGTGAGCAAAGAAAAGTAGCCAAAACAAAACACTCCCTGTAGCAGAAGAAACCTGATCAAGTTCAGAGCAGTTTCTGAGTGTACAATTTTTTAAAATAAAAATTATTATAGGAGAACTTTAATCAAGAAATTCAAGAAGGAATAAGATGTCTTATTAGCCGAGGAGTAGAATGTTCTCTATGTGTGAATATTTGAAAAGTTATTTTAGATATAATTTGTATATGAACTGCTCGATTTACAAACATTTATTTAATGGTGGTTGAAAGTTACAATGGCATTGGAAAAAATTGACTTACAGCCTGCTCAAAGTTATGACTATCACACTACCTCTATGGTCACGTGATTGGGATTTTGGCACTTGGCAACCAGGATGGTGGCAACATCCTGTGATCATGTAATTACAATTTGCGATTTTCCCAGTTGACTTCCAACAAGCAAACTCAATGGGAAAATCAGGCATGATTGCAAATCATGATCATGTGATATGTTGATAATGACCGGCAAAAAAATGTTGTGAAGTTGGATGTGCAGTCATGTGATGTCTCACTTAACAACCATGTTGCTTAACAAATATTCTGGTCCCAATTGTGATCATAAGTAAAAGATTATTTATTTATTTATTTATTTATTTAATTTATATGCCGCCCATTCTGATGTACTTAGATTTCCTTACATTTGCAACTTAGTTGATTCTTAATGTCTGAGGAAATACATGCTCATTACAATCAAAGGCCTTTCTGTAGTCAGTGAAGCACGTAATTCTTTTTAGTTTCCTTTGCCTTACTCAGTTATCCAGTATGCATTAGCAATAATCTCTTATTCCTCAGCTGTTATTAAAACCAACTTGACTTGCTGGTAGCTCTTTTTCTATGTAGAGCTCTAATCTGCCTTGTATGATCCTAAGTTTTATTTTACTAGCTTGTGAAATTAAGAACATTATGAGACGCCTTGTTAACTCTCCCTTCTATAGTATCGGTATGTTGACATCTGGTTTGTTTGCCATTGTATTGTTCACCAGGTATGTTGGCTTAGTTTGTTTAGAAATGTTACTGATTCTTAAGTTGCTTAACATATTTCTATACCAGTGATGGCGAACCTTTTAGAGACTTAGTGTCCCAAAACCGCCCCTGCCTCCCCGCCCACCCCACTCCGTGCCCCGTCCACTCCGCCCCTGCTCCGCCCCCATTCCCCCACAAGGCCACCACCGTCTCCACAGCCCACCACAGTAGATCACCCAGGCGGCCCAACAACGCCGTGGCAGTCACACCCTCCGTTCATGCTCCACAGCATCATCTGCACATGATGGGGCGCGAGGGCACAGTCTTGTCCCCGCAGCCTGGCTGCCATGTCCTTGGCTGCGCTGCTCCGCGCGGACCACGTTCAGGGTTGACTCTCCTCCAGGGGGCTTCTGGTGAGGAGGGGGCCATGGGGGAGGCAGGTCTGGGGTGATGGCGTGCGTGCCCACAGAGAGGGTCTGAGTGCCGCCTCCGGCATGTGTGCCATAGGTTCGCCACCACTGTTCTATACTGTAGATACTGCATCAATCCTTGTTACCTTTTGATTAGGATATTGAAATCCTTACCGTATAGAATTTTGAGACACACCTTACATCTTTGATCACTATCTGTCCTTTAGTGTTCTTTAGCATACAAAATTGAGGCTTTTGAATTAGGAAATCTTTTGGAAAACTTTTCCTTCTTTTCCATGTTTGTTTCACTCTTTACAGATATTGATCTAAGCAACAGAACCATGAGTTCTAAAATCTATTAGTCATTAAAACTGGCTGAGTGACTTTGAGCTAGTCACTCTCTCATACTTCAGCCCATCTCATAGGAGTGTTGTGGGGGAAATCTGGTATTGTTCATCTAGATAGGTGTTTTTTTGCTTGTTTGAATTGAAGGCTGTTAGCAATGAATAAATAATTGAATTTGCAGAAAATGATTCTCCTGCTTTATTGTCAACCTCCCCTTTTTCTACATCAGTATCATACTGAAGAGTTGTTCATTTAATGATATTAAATCATTGATTAAATGTACCCAAATATAGACTTTGCTATCCCCCCTGTTTATGAAACACTACTTCATTTGTCATAAGTTGCAAAGATAGAATTACAATGGGATTTTCTTTTCTTGCATGGTAGCATCCGCAACTAGACATTTCAAAAGCTTTAATCTAGCCACATCATAAACAACGTTAGTATTATGAAACATCCTCTATCAATAGCATGTTGAGTGCCATCTGACTTCAGGGGCCCATCACTCAGCACTTACATCAGCAATTACTTTGTCTTTGCTGCCCATGAGATTTTCTTGATAAAATACAGGAATGGTTTATCCTTGTTTTCTCCAGTGCAGTATGAAGTGAGGCCTTTACGATTAGTACTAAAGCAATCATCTGCCTCAAGAATCTCCCTATATCACTGTTCTGCCCAATCTAAATGCCTGCTTGCTTTTGTTAAGCAGCTGAGATGACTTTTGGGAGACCCTGCTGGGAGTATATATTCTAGGCATACATTTCTGGTGTTCTTTGGTCATTCCACTGGGAACAAGCTCACCCCCCCCCACACATTGTAATACCATAGCAGGACTGGGGACAGGGGATATTTCTCATGATTAATATTAAAGAAAAAATATTTGTGTCTTTTCATTAGGCAAATCAGATTGTCCATACCCCTGATAAAAATTACTACCTTCTACAGTTCTGATGGAGAAAGGATAGCAATATGCAATACTACCTCTTTGAGGGAATAGGCAATATAGAAATATGATAGATAGATAGATAGATAGATAGATAGATAGATAGATAGATAGATAGATAGATAGATAGATAGGTCAAAAACCAGTAATTAACCTACATGGAGGTAATCCTTATCAAAAATAGTAGGAGAACTTGCAGGGGGAGGAAGATGGTTGGTTGAAGTTTTTGTGCAATTTTTCATCACTATCTGACTTTAGAAAATCACATTTTACAGGAAGGAATTTCCAAGGAGATTGATTTTACAGTGACAGAATCAGTGGTGGGCAGAATCTGTAGTCCCATCTTTTCAAATCAGACTGGTTGCTTAATACCCATTTGAAGTTATGATAGCCTCAGCAAGGGTGTTTACAACCTCTAAAGAGCTTCCAGCTATTGTACAATTTGCCAACTCCCCTCACAGTCACATGATCTCAATATGGGAGTTTGGCAATGTAGACTAGTTGTCAAATGCCCCACAATTGTGTAATTACTGTTTGCAATCTTTCTAGGCCAGCTTCCTATAAAAAATCAATGGGAGAGTTAGTAGGGAAGGTTGCAATTGCTGCCTCCTGTCAAAGAGCTAAAATCCTCTTTCCCCCACAACTCTTTGAAAATGAAAGGACTTCCTGTTCGGAGGAAATCTTAACTGTGCATAGAGGAGATCCTAAAGATTTAAGCTCTGCTTTTGCAGCCTACCAGAGGAGTTCCCTTTCATGCACTAAGGGTTCCAGAAAAGGAGATCAGATCCAAAAACCCTCTGGCAGGCTTCAGGAACGGAACTGGGAATCTATCTGAGCTCATTTCTCCTCTCCACTGGAAGAGTTCATCTCCCTTCCAGGCTGCTGGAAAGAGCTCCATTGGATGAACTTGAACTTGAACTCCTCTAGTGGTGGTGGGGGGAAAAAAGCTCAAATACTAGTTCTGTTTCTACAACTCATAAGAGTAGTTCCCTTCCATGGATGGAGGGAATTTGAACTCCATAGGCAAGTTTGTTCACTTCATGCACTTCAGGAGATTGCTCAGTGGCCACAGTTGGAAGGGTTGGGATTACAGTAGTTGAGCAAAGCAGTCGGGTGTCAAGGACTACCTGTATTTTGAATATTTGAGAGGTAAAGCAGAAAGTTGCTTCTGCCACAAAATGGTGAACAGGAAGGGGTTGAAACTCTGTAGACTGTGTGCCCTGCAAGCCTAAGAATCAAAGCTTTATCCTTTGGATTTGTAAACCAAAAACCAGTTCGTTCCCAAGACTATTTTAAAATGCAAAAACAAGTTTATATAAAATTTCAGAGACTGTTTATGGTGAGTAAAAGAGATTCAGTGCATTTGGAGATGGTCCCTAATTGCTGCCCATCAGTACTTTCTACTTAAAAAACATAAATGTATTTAAAATATATCTTTGTGTTCTCAGCTTCTAATTACTTTTCTGATTAATATTCCATAGAGATGGCAGTTAATAAATTATTGTTCCAGATTTTTAATTTTGTTAATATAACACACAGTATATTTTTCTCTTACAGAAATTAGCAGAGTACGGAAAGACATGTATAACGACACATTAAATGGTAGTACGGAGAAAAGAAGTGCAGAGTTACCTGATGCTGTGGGACCTATTGTACAGCTACAAGAAAAACTATATGTGCCTGTAAAAGAATATCCAGATGTAAGTATCTACTAGTCAGATAATTTTTTTTCTTCTGGTTCATGTGATACCTTTGTAGTGTATTTTTTCATGTGACCTCTATTGTACAAATGTTGCAGGCCCAAGAATGCTATTGAGAGGTAAGCCTGTAATTGCTATTTATGGCTCCATCACAAGTATGATGCTGCTGTTTTTTAAAGTGCTAAAGTTTGCAAACATTTTACACGTATCCATAATCCTGCAGTATTATTACCTTCGGTGTGATCTGAACTTACAAAAAGGCCTGTTAAAAGATAAAGAGATTCTGATTAAATAGCACACAGCATACCATGTCTCAGTGACAAGCTTTCAGGCTGAATGATCCTGGTCTAGTTTTCTTTTTTCTGATATTTCTCTAGAAGTTGTGGCTGGCATTTTCAGAGGCAGAGTGAGCTGCTTTGCGGCATATTTCTCAGCAGCTCGCAGGTACCTGAAATGGGCTAATTGGAGGCTGGAATTTGAATTTGGCCAGCTGATCTGTAACTGATCCAATGTACAGGACTCCAAGAAAGCTACTTTCTCATTGGATCTTTCTCCAGTTGGCCCATTTTGAAATTCAAAGACCAATGTTCTATTTAGCTGTTCTGCTCTAAATACTGTAAACTTGTATGTTTCTTTTGCGAGATGCAGGGTTTTGTTTTCTATAAAAGTAATATTTCTAATTAATGACAGAAAGTTCCCACTTGTCTACAGAAAATTGTTCCAAAGCCTCATTCAGGTGGTTTTTGGCAAACTTCAAATAGGCAGCAATCAACTTTCGGAGAGTAGTTGTTTCATCATTCTTGTTCATTTTTTTAATGGTAGACTCATTTGTATTTGTTACCATATGTTCAGTTAAAATACAACACAGCAGAAAATTCCCGCAGCTCCTTTACAAAATATTTTATGCCTTATTCTTGGTGTGGCTTTCCATGAATGAATAAGAGCGGTGTTACATTTTCTCCAGTTGTACACTGTCTGCCTGACTGAGGAATTATAAGAGTCTTTCATAATAGTTTAATAGCCTTTTCCAGTCTCATGAGCATAAACAACACTTTTTTTGAATTCTCCTAAGAGCTCTTTTGATCAAGCATAGTCAGTTCTACAAACTAGTGTCATGAAAAGTAGACTCTGCTAGTCACAATCAACACATGTGTCCTTTTGTCCTTCTCAAACTGACATCATATTGTCATCTTGTTATTGGAACATCTGTCTCAACCTACTCTCTTAAGAGAGCTAATTATTGTAGACTTAACATACTTTTCCAAAAAAGACAGTGAACATTTTTGAAATATATTCAGGGAAAAATTGCAAAATAAAGTGTTTTGGCATGGTTTAATTTGAATATCCTTATCTGGGACTTAAATGAAGCTCTTAATGCATTAAAAATCTTATTGTATTATTGTAGGATTTGGGGTACTTATAATAGTTTCATGAACTTTCTTTCACTATGGCATAAGAAGCATGGTCTAGCATGCTAGATAAATGACATTTGATAACAGAATAACAGAGTTGGAAGGGATCTTGGAGGTCTTCTAATCTAACCCTCTGCTCAAGCTGGAGATCCCATACCATTTCAGACAAATGGCTGTCCAATCCCTTTTTAATGCCTCCAGTAATGGACCATCTATAACTTTTGAAGGCAAGCCATTCCACTGATTGATTGTTCTCAATCAATCAGTGGAATGGCTTGCCTTCAAAAGTTATAGAACTTTTTTTCTTGGTTCTAAGTTGCTTATCTCTTTGATAATTTTTTAACCATTGCTTTGATGCAACAGATAATTCACTCCCCCCCACTAATGATGTGGTACTGCAAGAGCTATGCTTCAGTTGTGTTGATATAGTATAATGAGCATATACAAACTTCATAGTTTGATTTCTTTAAAACAGTATATTTATTGTACAGCATTCCTGACAGAGAGAGAGAGAGAGAGAGAGAGAGAGAGAGAGATTTACTAATGCCATAGTTTAATTAGAAAATGGCTCAGATTAAATTATATTCTTTGGTTAATATGATTCATATTTATAGAATTATGTTTTAATTTGATTGTCCATATAATGCTTTGATTAACATGTTAAATACTAATGTCTGCAGGAGTTTTTAAGGAACACATACAGTAGTAGTGTATAGATGTGTCTAGAACAGTGGTTCTCAACCTTTTTAATGCCACGACCCCCAACCGGTCGTAAGTCGAGGGCTACTCAACTGGTGCAGCACCATTTGCAGAATGGGACTTTTGGCGGGGCAGAGACAGCCTGGACAATTCCTATTGGCTTTTGAAAGCCAATAGAATTAGACTCTATTCAAGAGAGTCTATTCTATTGGCTTTCAAAAGCCAATAGAATAAAAGGGAGTACAGCTAAGGAAAAGGGGGAAAAAATGGCAGACTGCGTTGTTTGGCGACCCCCGTGAAATGGTCGTTCGATCCCAAATGGGGTCCAGACCCACAGGTTGAGAACCACTGGTCTAGAAGTTGATCCAGGCTTACTGATATCCACATGTATTATCTGGGAGAGGAGAGTAGTTACATAATAATTTTTCCTACTTACTGTTATGGGAAGAGAATGTAAATTTGGCTTTTTGTTACCTAATGCTGAAACTATTAAGTAGGATGCCTTTCCTTCAGAAAGTGTATTAAATATGTTTATTTTTGTTATTTCAATTTAATCTTGTTTGATATACCATAGTTCATAAGGAAAATTAAAGTGTTGTTTTCTATTGGGATTTTTCCTTGGAGTAGGTGACAACGATCAGTTTCTCTTCCATAAACAAGTAGTGTATCTCTGACACTTGTCAGCATTGTCACCAAGTAGGTGATAAAGCACTGGAAGCATTGGTCAAAGCTGACTTAAGGCATTCTCTGGGGATCCATTCAACATTAAATAGACTCATTATTAAAACAGAACTGATCAAGCATGATAAAGTCCTGCTTATATGTCTTCTCAGTTAATATGATCAGCAAATGAATTCTTTGTTGGAAATGCTTCGCTATGTGAACTATCAACTATTTGAGATTGGTCATGCTAACCTGTTGTACTGTATAATTCTAAACGTTGCTGCAGAATATATAAAAAAACAGGGTTTTGTGGCTATTTTATCATGCTGTGAGTTGCATATGTATAAAAGTATAGCATTTTTTCCCCTACTAATACTGTAGATTAGAGTAGCAGCAGCACTCCAGCAATTCTTTTGAAGGACTTTTGTGGAAATAACCAAATTGTTCATATTCTAATTTCATGGAACATGCATATTATTCTAGATTAATTAATTAATTTGAAACAGAACAGTTGCAAAAGATTTTATTTTTTTTAATAGAGTGAAAAGTTAATTATTTTAAATTAATGTTTTTATTCTAATGTAAATTGATTAAATATTTTTTCTAGTTAGAAATGTGTTAAGTAATACTACAATTTTTTATGGCTTCACTATTTTGAGTTTAAAAAGTATCAGCAATTGAAATAAAATCTCAATGGATAATCTAAAAAAAAGTGTTAGATAAAATCCTTTTATGGAAGCCCCATAAATTAAGTATTCTCAGTTATACTTTTTGCAGTTATATTGCTAAGGATTTAGTATGTTTTTTTTTTAGTGTACAGATCTAGCACATTCTTTTTCTGAACATATAGAAAAGAAATAGATTATGTCTTTAAGGATTAAAAGATTATTTTTTCACTCCATATTTAACACCAGCAGATATATATGTCAGTAATATTGATTCTGGCATTGTGCTTATTTAACACCAGCTTTGTTTGTGACCAATGGTCCACAAAGTGTTGCTATAAACAGTAATATTCCAAGAAGCATTTATTTTTTTGCCAAATTCAAATATTTCCCAATCTTGAGGTTCCTAAATTTTCTAAAACAAGTTGACTTACAACTTGGTTCTTAACCTTTGCCACAGCATTTTGTTGCTATGGTCACTACTTTGTCTACCATAGCTTGGAATAATTTTTTAAACCATCAGGAGGATATTGTATGTTATAAATACTCCAAAAACTTACCGTATTTTCCATTTTTCAAGTTCCAGATTTTGTTGCATATTTATTGTAATAAAATGACACAGAGATTCAGATTTATACATAAAGTAAAACCTGCTAACAAAGTCTAACATTTAAAAAGCCTTTTTTTAAAAAAGAAAATCACATGTTTACCTAGTTCAATCTCAGGTTGATTCTATTTGTGGTTGCATTGATGTTGCCTTAATATACTTGCATGACAAATTCAACTTAATAGTGCATGAGTGAAGTTTGAATCCTTACTATCTCAATCTGAAGTTCTTCTGGGGCTTATGATAGAATATCTTTGTAAGTTACTTAGTTTCTATATTTTTTATCTTTTATATTTCAGAAGCCTTAAATCAATAGTGAGCACTAACAAGACACATTTTCTTATTAGCATCCATTTATATTTGAAAATACCTATAGCAGAAAGATTGCACAATTATAACATTTTGATTGTAACACATGCAGTTTAAGCACTTCCATTTATCCTGTAGTATCTTCTTGCATAGGTGCAAGGTAAAATCCTTTATCACATATAGACAATTTGAATCCTGTGGCTTGATCTTAGTAGACATAAAAATAAATTATTCCTTGCTTGTTTATTTTTAAATACAGAGCTATGCATTGTTTCATTATTGATATGTTAGGTCAGCAGCTCCCAACCCTTTCTATACTCCACACCCCTAGAACACCTCTGATATATTCTCTCACCCCTTACAAAAGTTCAAAATAACAGCAATGAATTATGCATATACACTATAATTTTGAAAACCCAAGTTTTCACACCCCCTGCAATATCATTTTGTGCTCCGGGGGTGCAAGCACCCCTGGTTGGGGACCCCTGTGTTAGGCGGTACCTCTTGTTTTCCATTGCTCATAATTATTATTCCATTATTGCTCATAAATTTGAGCAAGCAGTCTTTCCTCTCATTTCAGAAACATTTGAAGTAGATAGATAGATAGATAGATAGATAGAGTGATTATTGATGTAAGCTGTCTTG